CCCCCCAGATCATTACAAAGAAATTAATTGATTATTTTCCCTGTAACGGTCTGTGATGATTTCTGGAGACTCCATCGCTACATCATAATACAGACTGTAACAGAGAAGTTCCACAGACCATTACTGACCGTGGTACACGAATTCCAGAAAAGGAGTTTCATCGTGTGTCACATTTTAATCCCACAGGGATTGCGCTAACAGCTTTTTTTGCATACAATTTATTCATATTCTCATTTATTTTTTATTCAACATAATATTCATTATTTAAGACAATGATACATATACTTCTACTATTGTTGACATTCTGTACTTATAATATTGTAAGTTTTTGCGACAATATCATATTACAACACAAAACTAACTTGTTTTCTCTTTTTTTCGCGTTTTGTAGAATGCAACATCAAAACAGCCAGTTATACGTAACTTTACTATAATTGGTAATGATTTTATGAAAGATGGACAACCTTACCGAATTATAGCAGGAAGTATACACTATTGGCGTAGTTTACCCCAGGTAAACTAATAAAAATGGACACATCATAAAAGTTATTGTTGTCTATCAGACTATTTTTCACATGAGAAAATGCGATCTTTTAAAAGCTATATTTAGCTCTTCTCACATGTCTCTAGAAGCCGATATGGCTTAGGCTTAGGGAAGGTAGATCACTTTCATGGGCCGTCTTTTTTTGCTACTGCAAACATATTGATTTCAAACATGTTTAATCTCTGCGAAGGAACAGGTTATGCATCTAAAAACTTGTCATGTAACATAATCAGCCAATACTTATACTTACCAATTTTTCTGTGATTTTTAACATTTGCTACTACTTTCAACACATCTTTTGTATTTGTATGAACAGTTCGTATCATTCACCTCCAATATTTCGGAATGTGTTATGTATGAAAAAAACTATACAATTTAAATCGCATAAGATTTATTTAGGATTGGCAAAACCGACTTAGCTTAATTAAAAAACTCGGATGTAACACTATAACAACATATATATGGTGGGCATTACATGAACCTGAAGATGGCATGTTTGTATTCGATAAACCAGAACATGACTTTCTATTATTTATTCAATTAGCACATAGCTTAGATCTGTTAGTTATTGTCGGTATTGGACCATATATAACGGGCGACGTTGATTTTGGTGGATTTCCATATTGGATAACAAAGCAAAAACAAATTTCTATACGCCGCCCAAATCAAGTATATTATCAATTGATTGATCGTTATTTTGATCAATTAATTCCACGTTTAGTTCCATTACAATACCATTTAGGTGGAAATATAATTAATTTTCAAATCGAAGATGATTCTGATTTACCATTAATTAGTTTTGATGATAGTCATTTATATTATGGATATTTACGTGATGGTTTAATTAGGCGTGGTATTCAAACTTTAATAAATACTCTAGCCTGGCCTGATAGTCTATCATTAGAAAAAGCCATTATACCGAATACATGGACAGCATTAGAATATACAATTCATCATTCAACACCCGATGCATTAGCTACATTACGAAAGCATTTGCCAGATAATAATCCATTTATGGTTATGGAATATTATCCAGCGTGGATGGATTATGAAGGAAAACCGCATCAAACCATGGACAGTGAACAATTTTCCAATGGAGTTGATAAAATATTATCTTATAATGGTTCAATTAACTTTTATATGGTATTTGGCGGAACTAATTTTCAATTTACAAATGGTGGCGATTGGACACTTGTATATCATTCAATAACAACATCTTATGATTATGACACTATGATAACAGAATGTGGTGATGCGCATCAAACAAAATTTAAAGCTGTGCGTGATGTCATTGGAAAATATCTTCCATTAGAGCCAATGCCAACACCATTGCCATCGTCAAAAGGTTTGTATGGTACAATTCAGTTTGATTCTCAAGCTGAATTAATTCAAAATCTTCGTCCATTTGATGTTCTTTACAATAGTAACACACCAATTCAATTTGAATATCTTAATCAAAGTTATGGTTACATACTTTATTCTACACAATTGAGAAATTTTATTGACATCATTGAACCATTATTATTACCATGGATGCAAGATCGAGCTGTTGTCTCATTAGATGGAATTGTGCAAGGTTGTATTGGATGGAGTGAAAAAGATCCAATAACAATACTGAATTGACATCCTTTGAAAACAAATCCAAATCCACGATTAGATATTTTAGTAGAAAATAAAGGACGTTGTTGTGGTGATCTCTCTGGTTTTGATTGCAGTTTTAAAGGCATGAAAGATAAACCTCGTTTAGGGTTACAAGAATTAGTCAATTGGACAATAACAAAATTGACTATGGATGATAAATTGACTAAACAGGCAAGTACATTTAATTGGCAACCAATTGTATCAAATATTTCGACAGTATCACCATCATTCTACCGAAGTACATTTACGATCAATATGTCACAACCTTTGCATTCATTTCTTTGTACAGATAGTTGGGGACATGGTTTTATAATGATTAATTCATTTAATCTCGGTCGTTTTAGTGAAAAAGGTCCGCAACGTACAATGTATGTACCAGCACATATTTTGAAACAAGGTCTCAATGAAGTTTTGGTTTTTGAAAGTGATCGACAACAAACATCATTCGATATTCGAGAAAGAAATATGACATTTATGGATCATCAACTTTGAACAAATTACATTAGCTAGAATAGTAAGATACACTAATATTTTTTATACTATTTTAACATTGTTTCCTTTTTCTATAATGAATCATTTGAATATTCTGATCTATCAAATGTTAAGTCGACTATAATTCAGATATAAGTATAGGTGTTCAGACAGGTTACACAAATATCCACCTCAGCCCATACCCCACGCCTTCTCGTGGGATGCACTGATAGATACGATGATCGACCGTAAGGATTTTCCCTTTCCTATGAACAAGAAATATGAAAAAAGAATGGAGCAGATTGGATGGAATCATCTGTTTTAATAAGTCTATTTGCTTCTGCTTTCGTTAACGCCTTATGACGCACAAGATATTGAACCAATTTTTATCTAATGCAAATTGTCAGTTAAAAGTCAACGATTATTGATCAACTCTTGATATATTCTGATATTGTCCAGAAAGGGTTAGATCCTAGATCGATGTTCATATTTACTTTGACATCTTCGTATCTGTTTCACATCCTTCATAGATATACATATTGGTTAGAAAATCAAGAAAAACAAACCAGAGAACATAACTTACACACAGGCATTCATCAGAAAATATACAGAACCAAACTTCAAAAGAATAATATTATTTAAAAAAGCATATCCATCGCTGGAACTGTTTAAGAGTCATTCATTTCGGTACGTTTTCAGCACTAATTTCGTATAATGAAACAAAAGTTGTTTAGTTGCCACTCATAAATGATTTGTATAGTGCCTTGCATGACTAAAGTCAGATTCTAACCATAAGTATTTATAAGACTTCTCGTAGAAAATATAGGCAATGGCAATATGTTGCATTTCTAGAACAATCATTCCGTTTTAAGAAGTAAAAACAATACTATTTATTCAGACTTAAGTTTTTTTCCATTATCATTGTTTTCAAATGATGTAATTCATTGAATGATTAGTCTTATTTGTAGTTGCTTGCATTTTTTTAAATTGCTGGTGTCAGATAGCACAGCATTCATTCGTCATCTGTAATCTGATACACGAAAAAAGTATGTAGAAGACATTTTTTTTAGATAATACTATATAATTCTTCTTCGCTTTGATCATTAGACCATTTAAACTCAAGCGATGATGATTATTACACTTCTATTATTGATATTACCATTAATCAATTTAACAACAACTCAAATTCAAAATCCTATCCGATATCGATTAACTGCGACCGATAATTTAGCTCGGCAATATTATGTAATAGACAAAAATATTTATTGACTAAGTCGTAAAGGCTATTCACTTGATGACGATCCAACATCACCGAGTAACAGTCAAACTATATATGTTCGTAGTGAAAGTCGAACTAATTCATTTACTCTCACATAGTCACCTCCATTTATTGCAAATAGAGGTGCGTCATCGAATGGAATGGACTATTAGGGTGATCTTGTCAAGGGACATGGTGGGGAAAATAAAACATGATGAAATTATCATAAATAAAGATTGTGGTGGACCTTCTTTGACATGGTGAACTCATTATGACTCAGCTATTGGATTTATTATTGACCACCGTTTATACATCAGACAAGCAGATTCCACACCAATTAAAACTGTTTCGATATGACATGATCGTAACACAAGTCAATTAGTTGCAACGTTTGTAGTCAAATTTATTGATTGGAATTTACGTAAAATACCCAATTTGGAGTTTGAATTTCCAATTGATACTAAACAATGTTATTTTGTTCAATTTTTATTTTTCCTCTTAATATCATAAATAAGAATCGTCTCGATTTTTAATATTGATAAGAAATAAATAAATTTATAAAACAATACTACTAGTGTTTCTGTTTCCTTCGGTGGATTACTTTCTGTAGATCTACTAGATTTCATATGTCGTGAATGGCTTGTTTGTCTATTAGATGTTAGTATTTTAAATTACTTGCATAACCATTTAAAATTGGATAGGTCTGAATGACTCTTTGGTTGTAAGTTAATAAACCAACTCGATCTTTGTTACATGAAACACCGTCCATATATCTTCAGACTGGTCATTCGAATCAGAATTATGTTTTTCATGTTACCATGGTAATTAGACGCTTTTCTCAGAATGCGCAAAGCATATTTGAAAAACCGAGTTATAATTTTGTAGTTCATTCAATAAAGCTTCGAATAACTTATGAATGGAAAATCTATCTGCCAATAATAAAATCAGATAGACTTGTAAAATCTGATAAAGCTTTAGACATCTCCTCTAGAGCATAAACACTAATTCCAACGAGGTTCACCTGAACGCTGACTTTGTATGCAAAAGCTGAAACTTTTGCTGAAGCTTTTGGTAACAGTGCGAGTCTTTTTACGATGTGAGAGTTACCAAGTGTAAGTATTCACACAAAATTTCATCACAATCTGCTAGGTTGTTTTCGAGATACATTCGTAATACTGGACGAATTCATCGACATTTTGGCTTTTCCCTAAAACTGTAATAAAATACAACTGCTTCAATATTTTTTGAAGCGTTTTCCGCAAAACACCACGAAGTACTTGCTTCTGTCACATGTATGAGAATAGTCGAGATCAAAGATACTCGATTGAGCACTATAGCTCATGACTTAAGTGCAATGTGTCTTAAATTGTAAACCATTTGATGTGACGTTTAAGCATGATCGAAACGGATCATTCTTACTTATTAACCCCCCCCCCCCTCTACACACACACACACACCACTACCACGCTCCCTCTCTTTGTTGGCATATAGTGTTCCTAATGTGATCGATTGATACTTTATGTTAATATCACGACTATCATGCAATCTCATAGATTCAATTTCGTCTACATTGTCACAAGATATACGTTCAAAAGCTAGTAGCTGCACTTAGGATGATGATCCACTGTCTTGAGTCTGAGAAGAAATGCGTTGGTATTTGAAGAAATCTAGTAGTGACGTTGCTTATGTCTGAACGAACATTCATCTAGTTTGACATATGCACACTTGAAACACAACTCTAGGCCACGTAGCGGAAACCAGTAGCTAGATCGTTATATGTATCAACGTCTACTAGTATCATGTCAAAAGGACGACCGCCTTTCTTCTTGTCACGCCGAGCGTTTTCGTGGCAAAGAATCAAGTAGAGCGCGACGGCAACAATGACAGCCAGTGCATTGAAGGCCAAATTCAGTCCGAAACCTTTACTCCAATGTGGACTATCTGTGGAGGGAAAAATGAAGGCAGCGAGTATGGCAAAGCACTGACCGATCCCATTGAGCATTCCCAGCTCAACATCACGCTGGGACTCGTTGGCTGAGTTGTTTGAGACCCACGTGAGCATGAGTGGAACGGCAGCAAAGCTACCCATGACCAGAAGGAGGGTCGCAAAGTAGCGCACATTTTGATTGTCGACTACTGCCAAGAGAATTATCCATCCTGTGCACGAGATCATCATCACACCGGCGACAAATAGACCACGGCAACGAAACCTGTCGGAAAGAAACGATGTAATGATCATGAACACGGCTGCACAAGCATATGGTGGTACTGTGTAGAGTTGTGCATCAGCATTGCTATATCCGAGTGATACGATAATAGTTGGCAAAAACCCAGAGATGGAAGCTAGCGTCAAATTAACACCTAAATACATGACACCACACAAGTAGACCTTATAATCCGTAATCGCACGACGGAAGCCCGACCATCGGAATTTTCTGATGTGTACACCATTAGCTTGGCTACTCATGAGACGTGTAGTGGCCAGTACGCGCTCTTCTGAACTGAGATATTTACTGCTTTCAGGGTGGGTCGGCAAAAATAGAAAAATGAGCAGAGCAAGTACGAGCGTGGGCAGACCTTCGATGAGAAAGAGGATTCTCCACGTAGGTTTAATACTACTGTTTGTCGAATGTGAAACACCATACGCAATCAAACCACCGAACGCACCGGCTAGTGCACCACATCCAATAAACAAGGCATTGCGCATGGCGATCTCATCACGCTTGTACCAAATGGAGTAGTAGAAAGGTACCGTGGGACCAAAACCTGCTTCGCCAATGCCGATAAAGAGACTGCATACGACAATACCGGCAAAATTGAAAGCAGCCGCTTGGAGAGTGGAGGCAATGCCCCAAATGAGCGCAGCGATAGCCATCGCAGTGGAGGGTTTTAACACTTTCGCCATAATGTTACCGGGAACGTTGAAGACAATGTATGCTATGTAGAAACACGCAAGCGCGATGGAAAATTGTGTGTCCGAACTTCCCATAAGATCTGTTTGAATTCCTTGCAACTTGGCATTGCCCATATTACCTCGGTCGAGATAAGCAGACAAATAGAGAAATGTGGTCAAAGGGAGGATGACTGCATCGAGCTTGAGTTTTAAGTTACGCTCGGCTCTTTTGTAGTCGGTTGATGTTGTTGTAGAATATGGGATTTCATTTTTTGATTCTAGCGTTGACTGTGGTTGCAACACAGCAATCACCGGAGAATTTTCTTGTGTAGCTTGATTCGATCTCTGTAGATCGACAACAGAAGTCATGATTTCTGAAACGTATGTAGTTGTTTACTTTTAAGACCTCGAGCAGAGAACAGAAGAGGAGAAAGCTCATCAATGGCTTTTACTTACTCATAGAATCAGAGTAGTGCTTGTCACAGGTTTTTACAGAAATAGCTCGAAATTCATTCAAACACATATGCATCTGAGTCAAGTTTTATGGTTGATTGTGATTTTACGAACAATTCCTAAATCTGTCACCATAACATAGTTCTCGCTCAAGACTTTCTCAGCTTTATTGGATGCGTACTGTCTCACTTGCCCATTTCTCATCACAGCTGGCGACGAATCCTATCACAAGGCACTACATCAGTCAGAATGTTGCTAAAAACTCACTATATATCTTGTGGTAAAATATGTATTCTTGAGTAGAGTTCCCTTAGATGAATCAATAATATTTTTTATATATTCCCTTGAAAAAATAGTTAGATTCGGTATTTTCAATATATTTCTACAGTACCTAGAGATTTTGTAAAAAGTAATTATATATTCGGATATCACAGCAGTATTATGCTGCATGATTTATAATGATCATTGCTATCGTTATAACAGAATTGTATTAGAAATATTCATTTTTCAAAGTGAATTGAAGCAGAATTCAAAGACATAAATTAATTTCGATTTTTAACACTACAGATTATAGCAAAATATGTCTTATAAAAATATTAGTTATCTAGTGTTATAAAAATCGATAAAAAAGGCAACCTGAATAATGTAAATCGTTTTCATGATAAGCTACATCATGATTTAAACAATATCGACATTACTCATGTAGAAGAAAATTCTGCGCATAATAAGTTATTAAGCTGTTCTTCACGATAAATATTCAGATTTATCTAATTGATTGTTTCTGTGTGTTTGAATAATAATTAGTAGTCAAAATTTATATATACACATATTTTCTTCTATTAGTTTTTGGTTATTATTTTTATTCCCTTCATCTTGATTATTTCACTATTGAAATAAACATTCAACTTATGTTCAATATATAAAAGTTACAGTAACCTGTTCAGTTAATTTCCCTCGTTACTAGAACCAAATAAAAATGCATCCAACTCATTGATGATTGCATCAAGGAACTCGACATGGAGAATTCTCGAATCGAGGAGGGTGTGCACTACGTATATGACTCGAATAATTGCTCATACAACTCTTCAGCCCAACATGTGGTTACTAACTCGATTGTTCTGAACTATTTCCCGATGTACAATACATTCATCTTGAACCAGATGATGTTTAAGTGAGAATCATTCGACTATCGAAATGGAACTAAGCGTACTTGACTGTGAAATATTTGTTTTTATTCAACTATCAGTTAAAATTTTTTTCGTTCATGTGCGTCGACTACATTTTCAATTTATTTTCATCTTTACTCAGTATTAGCGAGAAAACACTTACCTCTCTCAAAAGATGTTCGCATAATATTTCAGAATGATAGTACTCAGCAAACTAGATAATTTTTCTATCACAGTCAATTTGAAAAACTGGCAACATTTTCCACGAGTCGCTAACCAGATACTTCATGCGAAGCAATTGTCACAGCTAATTTTTCTGAAGATCTTTCAAGAAACAAAATAGAACAGTTTCTAGAGCAATACTCTAGCCATGCATAGTTGGTGTCAAAAATGTTTTATCCGATAAGCAAGATAGAAGTTGTCGATCACAGAAGATATAGATGTCGAAAGTATCATTGATTTATCCCATTCAACTCTACATATCTTAAAATAGTTGTGGCATGTTGTTTACTCTAAATGATCTTATCATTGCATTCATATTGGACAGAAAATGTTGTTATGAATTACTGGGGAAAATGCAAGAAATCAAGATAGAATCAACCTGGATTGTTAGAAAAATCGGCAGGAATTGTTGACTACAAGGAAATCGCCGTTACGTAAAAAAACAACAAATGTTTCATCAATCGATAATGAATAGCCTATATAAATGTATTGTTGAATCTCTGAGATACATCTTGCAAACTAATATGCTTATAATTATTTCAGAATCACTTAAGCGATCAACATTGTTATATCAATCAGAAGAAAACTGGAAAAAGACACTGGTTTTTGATGTTTCATGAATATTTCTCAATTTATGTGTTCACTTCTACAAGTAGTGTCATAGTCATCGCTTGATCGTGAATAAGTAAATAGACCTACCTTTTATATTATAAAGCAGTAAACGATGCTAAGAGAGAGAAAGTAAAACCCTCGTGTGATGCTCTCCTGTGATTCTACTTGTTCTCTGTATGTGACTGTTGCTCTGTGTTTTCTAAACAAGTGCAACTATCGTTTTAATTGCTACACGACAAATGGTAGGTATGTAATGATGTTATTATGCTTCACAAATACACATCAAAATTTAATCAAGATCATAAGAAAAACTGATTGTCTTGAAACAGATTGACAGAGAGGGAAACAAATATTAGTGCGCAATGAAACCAACGGCGAACAGAAGTCCACCAATAGTCCTCTAAAAAGTTTCCATTGTGATTAATGTGTACACGTTCTAAAAATCTTCAGCTTTGTCCCCCTTCATTCTGAGCTTATGCTTGTATAAAATAAATGTGGAAACTTCGGATTTCATCCGAGAGTTATATGTGTACTGCAAAAAATGCATGGGACATATGAGCCATTCTATAATGTCTGAACACGAAAATTATCATGAGAAACTAGGCAATTTGATTTCTGGATGCAGTTTTTGTGCATTTTGAGACGCTTTTCAGTTTTCAGGCGATGTTTCGTTAGAAAGCTACGATTCAGTTCAAAACTAATATCAGATTTAGAATCAGCGTTAAAAACTGAGTCGATTTATATATGTTGTGGATAATTCTGAGAAAACAAAGTTTTTTTTTGAAAAATCCCTGTACCCCTCCTCAGAGATGGTCTGATCAAAAATGACATTTTTTTCGATAACTCAGCCACTTCTTGGCGAATCCTTCTCATCTTCGAACTCGACCTAGATATTGATGAGACAATTCTGTGCACAAAATTTCAGCTCAATCGAATGTAATTGTGAAGAGTTATCGAATAAACGGACGGACGGCCGGGCACACTGACCGATTCTATAATGTACTCTTTTTCTTTTGAGTACATAAAAGATGTCTCTCAAGTATGGCAGGAGATTTAATGGTCCTCATTCTCATGTATCTTTGCTCTCCCAAATATAATAAAAGACCAGAATGTTCTATGTCAATCAATGTTTAAAAGTTTGATTAATTTATATTTTTTTTAAACTTGCAATAAACTCTTCTTTATACTGGAGAAACCAGTTACGCTAATGAACATGGCTTTTGTATATAAAACAAAACATACTTGTCAATTCAAACAACAAAAAAATATACTCCCCATCCATAACTAGCTGATCCTCTTGCAATAACCACTAGTGATTCCGAACAATGTTTACAAGAAAGCTGGTTCATTTTCACATCCCCTACATGAGAGAGTGCGCAAAAAAACATTCGTAAAACTGACGAGGCTTCATCACTGCATGTTGTTATTGATAGATATGTTTTACGAGAAGACGTATAAATGAAAAAGTGGAAAAGGCGATTGCACTTGATAAGTAGAAGTGAAACCTGTTTATACAAGTAATGTAATTTCTTAATGTAAAGAAAGAGAGGCACGTTGTCAAAAAATGTTTTTTCATACTGTCGCTCTTGCTATAATGATGGGAGGCCAGTCAGATGATCGAGTAGCAAACAGAACGCCTTATGGAGTTGATTTCAAGCAAAAATTATTATGTTTCCTTTTTGACGATTGAACACGATCAATTAATATCTGAAGAAGTTTGCAGAAAATAAAAATATTCCTCTTTTGTATTGCGTTGTGTGAGTATGGATATGATTTTGTGATAAAGAGCAATTAAAAGTTAGCAAAACGAGTATCAACTTTTTTTTTATATAATCTTACCGAATACACGACATATGCATACTGACGGCTTCGAACAAAATGAATTATTTTGTTTTATCTATGTTCACAGGCGAGCAGAAACTGATATGGACATTATCAATTCTATTAGTGCAAAAACAAATATTTATATTGATAGAAAGAAACTTATTTATAGATAAATTTGAATAATGACATGAAATTTAATCTTAAACTCTAAAGATCACTCTAGTCTCAGTTCTGTTCATTCCTTGAGAAACTTTGAAAGTATCCTGTCAGGTTTGATTCAGGATTTTTTCAAGTTCCTGTTCGGTTATTTTTCTGAATTAATTTTGTAGGATCTTAGTAAGATTCACTAAAAAAACTTCTCTAGGAACTTAACATACATCATAAAGAGAATTTCATCCAAATTTCATCAGATTTCATCGAAGGTGATTCGGTTCTTTTCATAATCAAATAGGATGAATTAATAAATCTTAGCAAAAATTGAAAATTTTCTTGAAGTTTGAATAGAAGCTGTTTTGCGATTCAGACTATTGTAATGCGGTTTTTTCTTCATCTTTATCGGAAAATTGAAAATCGTTGAATGAGAATGCGAATTCAATTGAGTCCTTGTAAAACATTTTTCATTAAATAGATATTTTAAGGTAAGTGTAGAGAACATTAAAATGATATTGATTGTATTGGTCAAATACGAAAAGATTCAAGTCACATACGTACTTTAAGTTTTTGATCGAAAAAAACATATTACAACATCGCAGTCACCTGTTACTGAAAGACTAATAACCAGAGTTTTTCTATAGAATCTTTCTGTTTTTCTAACATACTCGCTATAGTTGCTATTAAAAGTATTATTTCAATAGTAATTTTGCATGATTTCTTCGATCATGCTCTACTCGGATGAAACAGTTGCTCAAATATTTTCAATGTAAAATAAAAGATGTTTCCTAACTGTTACATAAAAAGAATTTTTTTTTAAGTTTTTTTCACAAAAAAACTAAACGTCTCTTTTTTTACATGCAGTTGAAAATATTGGTTAAAAAATCAAACAGTCTTTACCATCGATTTCATACATTGCTTGTTGGTAATTCTTTTTGGTAATAACGGTTGTTCTTTTGTTCTTGACAGTGAACTGTTTGTTATTCTTTGGAAACATTTAGGTTATTTATTTTAAATAACGAACATATCCATAAAAGAACCTAATAAAAGCCTTGTTTAATTTTGTGAGTTCGAGCATAACGTTGCATTTCACGATCGACATGAGTTGAATCATTTTTACTATTCAGATAAGAAAGGTGTGGTCGTTTACAACTGTATATGAAGTCCATAATCGTCGGTCTGGGTATTGTTTTTCACGAAGTACCATTAAGAATTTATCTGTGGATAACCGACGCTGATTATATTCATCGACGAGTCGGTCACGACCGAGAATTAATAAATCACGAATTAGGATTTTTTTCCCAATAATATTTTTTTTTCAGTTCGTTTCTGTTCCATTAATGCTAAATGTTGCACTTCCCTTTTGCTAAATTTTGATTGATTTTTCTCGATTTGTGCTTAAATAAAATTGAACAAAGAGAAATAAGATGCTGATTTCAAAAGTCGAAAAAACTTACTCTTGCATCTTTAAACACACTTGAAATCATACAAAACCCACCTTGAGATGTGGGTGTGGTACTGCAGTTAATATGCGTCTCCTAACAGACGAGAGTGACAGTGTTCATAGTGACTAAAAGTGGATACCTATTAGCTCTTCACTAAAAATTCGATTCATGTTCACACCCATACACAACTGTATCGAACATAAATTTAGTGCGATAGAAAAATAGCAGTGTCTCTCCCATTTTATGAAAATTTTGGCGCCCTATTTTGATTATTCTTGCTTTTTAAGGAAGGTTGATAATCTTTTATTCATTTTTATATTCTCGTCCTACTTTATTAATATTTATTTATCCAACTTAATGTGCCGTTTCGTTGTGGTTTACAACTTCATCAGACATGATTCTATGTACAATTTTTAATTATAATTTAAGATCATACAATTAATGATCTACATTGTGTAAGCGATAAAACAGATGTAAATGGTGTGACAATTAGATTAGTTCGTTTTCTTTTTTCTTTCTTCTTTTGATCTTCTTTACATTTTGCTTAATAGTGATACGGAACAAGACGGTAGTAGTGTTGTTCTGGATTCACGATTCATTTCCCGATCACTATTAAACAAAATGTAAAGAAGATCAAAAGAAGAAAGAAAAAAGAAAACGAACTAGTCTAATTGTCACACCATTTACATCTGTTTTATCGCTTACACAATGTAGATCATTAATTGTATGATCTTAAATTATAATTAAAAATTGTACATAGAATCATGTCTGATAAAGTTGTAAACTACAACGAAATGTCATATTAAATTGAATAAATAAATATTAATAAAGTAGGAAGAGAATATAAAAATGAATAAAAAATATTCTGATTATTTCTCTGAATTATTCAAGTTTGTTGCATCGCAAATGAAATGCTAATTTCATGTGGCATTATAACCACTGAATGATGTCATTTTTGTTTTCGGATAAGGTATTATTTTTCTACTGCTAGCAAAATTTTAATTCATATAGCCAAAACAAGTGTATCAGCAGTGCATCATATTCGAAAATAAGTATGCGTCTGCTACTTCTTCTGTTGGTGATCTTGAGTACGTCACTGTTTGTACTATAGATATTTTGTTCTTAAGGATTTTTTTTCTTCAGAATTTTCACCAGCTACACTAGAGAATAATTCAACAAAATTTGTAGAAAATGCTTCACTGGATACTCTTAAATCGCGTGTGAAAATCTCAGAGCAGTTCCAAATACCACCAGGAACAATTATGGCTTTTGCAGGTGCCGTTACTCCAAATGGTTGGCTGAGAGCTGACGGATCAGGTGTACATCGCGAAAAATACCCAGATCTTTTTAACGTCATTGGTGATTTCTATGGTTCCAGAGATGATGCTGGTATATTCAATTTACCTGATCTTCGTGGCCGAGTACTTGTAGGTACCGGTAAAGGAATAGGTCTTACCCATCGTAAGTTAGGTAATGATTTTGGATCTGAACAGCATATCCTTACTCAAAGTGAGATGCCGACTCATGTCCATCCACTAGATGATCCTGGGCATAGCCACGATATGGGTAGCCCTACGCGAGGTCAAATTTGGGGTATTACTGTTGGGAGTCAGCAGGCTTGCTATGGAGTCACCAATGGTGGTGTGACAAATAATCCACCTACTCTGCAATCTCAAACAGGCATTAAGATGCGATCGGTAGGTGATGGAGCTCCACATAACAATATGCAGCCATCGATTGCTATGAACTATATAATAAAATATTAATCAGATGACAGTTATAGCTACAAAATATATACTATTATCTTTCATGATTTATTTCGAATAAATTCAAAGAATCAAGAATGAGGAGAAATATTAAGGTACGATGAAGTTAATCTCTTAAAGGTATTTGCTTCTTTCACGTTTCTAAAGAGCTGCTTCATCTAGAAATATAGAATATTTATCAAAAATACAATTCAAAGACCGATCGGTCTATCTTCTGACGAAGAAGGCAATTCAATATATAATGAGATATTAAAAGATTTTACTTTGATAAAAATGAATAATAGAGGAATACTGAATTTTATTTCTCGACGTTTTTCATGTTATTTATTGTAAATTTTTAGAAGTCAGATGTGTTCATCTTCTCCTTTGTCTCTCCATCCATGATGTAGTTGCTAACCATATTCTCTATAAACTAACACTTTCGTGACTGGAATCAATTGCTAAAATCCGACAATTGAGATTAGCAGATTTGTTTGCGCGCATTCACGTGTACACTCAAAATTCGATGCCGTAAGTAAAAACCAATGTTTCTTTTATCTTAAGCAAATAGTGATTTATTCGGTAGTATATTTCGTTATATAACGACGTTTTATTTTTATTACATACTCTTTTACATGAAATTAATGCAAATAAAAAACGATTCTGATCGCTTTTAATATGTCTGATATTATACAATTCGATTACAAAAAACATTGGACTGAAGAAGAAATTATTTTTGAAAAAGTTTGTAGTTGCTTCTTTTTTTAGTTTATTTATATTCTAAAATTTTATTCATGCTATATCTTTTCAAAGCCACGCAGCGGGGATAAATCGCTGGGATTCACTATCGTCGGAGGAATTGACGAACCTTTCCGTCATCGCCATTTCACATCAATCATTATCACAAATGTAAATGAGAAAAACCTTTCGCACAGAAACAAGCCTTTAGAGTAATTAAATTAACGTTTTGTTCACATGATTATCTGAATCATCTCTCTATTCATTCAGAGTATACGATGTAATATTAAGAATGAATAGTATCGATTTTACGAATATTAAGCATCAAAATGCTGTTCAAGCATTGAAAGAATCCGGTCCAATAGTTAAATTGGTGAGATATGCAATATGAATGTAGCAAATCTTTTATCACAAACTTACTTTTCTCTTCTATCACTTTGTCCAGCTGATACGTCGTCTGTCGCTATCGAATAGCGAAGAAATCGAACTAGAGCACAATGGAAAACTAGGCTTTACCATTGTAGGTGGCTTGGGCCAAGAATATTTTCAAGAGTAGACACTATTAAAATTTACATTTCTTTCCACTTAAAATATTTTGTAACTCTTTAACCATTGAAGTGATCATGGCATATTTATCACGAATATACTGAATTATCAAACAAAAAAGCAGCTAGATATAGGTGATCGATTATTACAAATTTCATCCATGGTAAGCTGATTGCATTTTTTGTATTTCCTTTAAAGGTATTTTATATGATTTCTTTAAAACTTCTTTCTAATTATTAGTTCAATACTTACGATTTGCGATTCGTTACACACGAAATGGCAAAACAATACATAGCCTTAGCTTGTAAAGAAAGTAAAACTATCAAGTTATATGTAGGTCACACAAGACCTAATGTTGGAACGCAAGTTTCAATGAATCTAATTCAGCTGGAAAAACACGGTTGGACGAAGTGTTCACCTTTTGTCTTTAATAGGCAAAATCAAAAGACAAATTTACATCAGAGGCGACAAGATCTTCTTGCCTCGAAATATGAAGGTAATATATGATGTGTACTTCTCACTTTGCACTTTACTTCTCATTCATTTTCCTTAAGATGCTACTGAAACAAAAGACTTCAATTCTTCAATGGTATCTTCTAAAAATCAAAGCACACAAGCTGACTATCATAATAGACTATACAGCACAATCGGAACCTCGACGGAAGAATTAATAGTGCCATTTGATTTTGAAGGTAAAAGCAAGCATTATATTTAATCAATTATGTCTGTATAAGAATTCAAGATTGTGAGAGATACGAGAGGCGTAACAAAGTCCATAAAAATCGTTTGTTAAATGATCAAAGCATTAAACTTACAAAAGTTCTATCTCCAATACAACAAGAACAACCAACGACTATCAGGTCAGTCTAAATTTGAGGGCGAGAAGTCTGCTCTAATCATAGTATTCTTTTTGTGTTGTTGTTGGTCGCAGAATAGAATATATATTTTTTTTAAATCTATTTTTAGGTCAACACTGTCAGCGACAACAACAGAATTGAAATCGAATCATGAAGCAAATACTGACATTGAACAATTAGAAACTACAATTCGACGTGAACATGTTAAAGTATGAAGTGTTTCACTGCAAGACTTAAAATTATCGTTATAAAAATCGATTTCTTTCATTTTGTTTAGTTGAATGGCACATCACAGGGGCCTTCTATTGATCAAAGGTCTATTCAACAACAGAAACTGAATCAGGCAGTGATACGTAAGCTACTTGATTATCAATTTTCTACTGTTTTTCGACAAGATTAGCCTTAAAGGATGAAAACTCTTATCTAAGTGATTCTTTTTGTATTAATTTGTTCTAGTCGAGGCTAAAGCAGAAAAACAAAGACGTCAAGAAAGTAAGGTGGCTCAAAAAGCACGCCTAGCGAGACAAGGAATAACGACGGATGGATACAGTGCATTGAGAGTAAGTTAAAATTCTTCAAACAACGATAAGTGAAATATTATATCTTGACTTATTTCATCTAGTGGCAATTTGATTGAAATAATGCATCGAGCAAGCTGCTGCAGCCTTCTAAAACTTTAATAAACAAAGCTCTTACAATCAAATTGTAACATTAAAATATATGAATTCTGCTAAACTGTATCGTTTTACATTTTAAAATCATTAATAATCATGAGCAATTCTTACTGATGAAGCTAAAAATCTTTTGTATCCTTTTTTGGCGGTCAAACATTTGTGAACCCAAAAGTTTTAGGTATCTTGCGGGTATAAATGTGGTAATAAAAAATTTTCAATGTGTCAAACTATGTTCACTTGTAAGTCTTTGAGTTCTATGCTCCAATAATGACTAAGCCAACCTATAAAAAGAAGCCTTAACCGTTACGAACATATGTATAATAAGCAACCACTGTTGAATACATTACGAATGGATTCTTTACTTAACGTCGTGATTTCTATTGCTGCTACCATCTTCGTCAACCATCTTTAATATTTTTTTATTGGTTTATAGTAGACGATCAAGATGATCTTTCACTTTGACTGTTCTCTGCAAGAATAAATGATTGTGCCAGTCTGTTATATTATCAGTTAACAACATACTGGGTTTCTTGTTGACGGTTACAGACTGTGTTTATTATCGAAAGAGCAAAAACGAGACCGTGCGCGTTCTCTTCAATGAGTCACTCTTTCAATAACTGATATTGCCAATGAAAGGAATACAAATGCCCGAAGTATCTTTGAAAAACCGTAATGCTTTTAAATACTTATTTTAGACAGATCATTCGCTCACGTGAAGACCAAAGTAAGCTGTGATTGTCAAGAAGAGATAGCTGTTCGAGAAGACCATCGTTTTCTCTCATTAAAAGAAATAAACTTTCATCTACCACTCACCGAAACTCCTAGATGTACTAAAATCATGTACCTCATTGCAATAGGTTTCACCATCTTTGGAGTTATGACGCCAGGGTGAGACTGCGGGTGTTGATGAGCGGATAGCCATTCTACATGGTACCCACACCCTCTTTTTTCTTTACATTGGATTGGATTACCAATTGGTTTCTAAGGTAAAATAACAGTATATTATGTGAACAAAATTTCACAGGAAAAACTCGTCCGAAAAAGTTACATCTCTTCTTCGTTCAGCTTAACGTTCAAATTTAATTGCAACAATGAAGAATAAAATGTTCTCTTCAAATAGTTTTAAACTAAGAATTCGAGTTGAACAGACGCTTTATCGTGAAGTGATAACCATGTATGTGTACACATTTCTTGCTGATTAACATACTGACAAAATTTCCATATCCATTCATGTTTTTCATTTGAATCATATTGTCGAATAAAATGTACAGTTAATTGTCGTTGAAAACGATTAAATTCTAATAACCATTGCTGACCATCACGTGTAAATAATGTTGTTTGTTGTTTATCGGATATAATTTTACCCCATAGAACAAATTTAAGTGCATTAAGAGAATCATTTTTTTCAACATCATACATTGGTATTAAAGAATTTTGTTCAATATAGATTGGTATACGATAAAGGCTACTAGTATCTTCATTAATGAACGTATGCGATTTATGCGCAATTGATGTATTAAAGTAATTAATCCATTGATTTGTTGAACTTTTAGGTAACCATAAACGTTGACTTTGACCAGGAATTGGATCTTGTAAAACTGGTACGACATATATATTTGGACCAAGAAAATAGGAATGACTTAATAATGCTTCAATATCATCACATGGTCGCATTAATGTACCATTGTGTCCAATTGCTACTTTTGTACCTTCACTATAAAGATAAGGTACAAGTTTATAATGTAAATTAACCCACGATCGATAGATATCAGTTGTTTCATTATCAAAATTCCATGGCAAATGTTCCCCACCACCACCATTTTCCATAAATGAACTCAATGCACCAATAGCTGTCCAACGAAGAAATAATTCTTTTGTACGACCTAATTTACCAGCTGTAGAATCAGTTCGATAGCCGCCGATATCCGAACCAAAACCAACATAACCGCGACGACCACTTTCAAGCATATAACGAAGAGCTGTTTTTAATCCATCATATGTACCATCTTCATCACCGACCCAACCGATAAAAACAATATCACGTGGGCTATAATCAACATAAACATCAACGGGGCGTGACATAACTAAAGCATCTGGGCCAACTAATTGACGTAAAACTTGAAATGTATCATTATAATAAGCTGTACGATAACGTTCCCATGTTACAAGAGGATCAAGTACTTCAATTATATATGGATCAGTACCATCAGCCTATAATTATAAAAAATAAAATATGAATCAACTTTTATATATTTTAGTGATCATAGAGTGCATTTGACTGGTTTTCTACTCGACATCGGAATTCAAACGATGGTTTCTGCTAGAAAATCTTGAAAAAAAACTCCACTTCGATATTTTTCAGTTTGAAAATCTTCTACAAAATACGCTATTTACATGCTGCTAACGACAGTGTTTTTTCAATAGTAACCCAATCGAACCGACCCAAATAAGATTGGCATTTTTCACGTTAGCGCGAAATATTCAGTGCCCATCTATGCAATAAAAATTTCAGAACTCACGGTCAGAAATATAAGTAAAATAGGAGATGAGTCTATTTTACTTAAATTTATTTTGATATCAAATATTATCGTACTTTAAATGCATGAATAGGTCCCACAGTATCGATAAGTTGTTTAATTAGACTATGCCACCAATTAACAGCTTCTACATTAAAATAATTTAATAAACGTCCTTGTCCAGACCACCATTTAATTGTTTTATTAAATAAATATCCATGTTCTTGTGCATATTGATAATTAGGCGAATCAATATTAATCATTGATGTCATCCATAAGACAATACGAATATTTTTTTCACGAAATCCATCGAGCATATTTCGTACTGTTGGGAATTTTTTTGGATCAAATACAAATGTACTAATATCTGTTGTCCAACCTGCATCTATATTAACAATACCAAATTGTATATTATGATTAATATAATCATTAAACATATTTTGTATATCTATTTGATTTGTATGTGAATCATGTAGCCATATCATATGATAATGAGCCCATTCTGCATATGGTAATGGTTCTGGTACAACAAAAACGAAAGGATAAAACAAAGAAATAATTAATAGTGCTAACATGATAATTTTAAAATGGAAAATCATATATGAAAATTTACAGTACTCTTTAAATGCAAACTACGATGAGAATAATCACACATGCTTCGCTTTTTTTTATTATCGTAAAGATCGTTGTTGTGTTTGGAGATAAACTTTGTGAAAAAAATCTACTTTCAACCGACTTCCATGGGGCTGTTTCTGTATGATCTAGGAAATTTTTGTTATAGTAACTCGATATATGGGATATAGATCAAAGACTGATCTAGCATTATATTTATCATTTTATTCAGCCGTGAAATCCAGGAATCTATTCCAAAAATTGTGTTTGTAAATAAAAACTTGGGAATATCGTTTTTTATATGACTTGTTTAGTTTCATGTCTGGCAGTTCGCTAACAGCATTTTTCTTATATTTAACTTCAGAATCTCTCGAAATCAAGAAAGTTTTTAATAGAATTAGCAAAAATGTCGTATACAATATCCACACCCGTAAACGATTTAAAACTAATATAAGTTTTCGTATATTCAAATGACTGAAATACATTAGCAGAGATGTCTTACATTAAAATATTAAATTCGTTATTTATAGTGATCGAATATTAGCATACTTCGATTGCCTGAATATAACTTTTCTTGTGAAATTTATTTATGTTCATTCATTTCGAACGTGCATACAGCGAGCGCTTCAATACTAATTTTCTATTCGTCGATTTATACATCTTTTGTGAATAGAGAGCAAACAAAGAAGAGGAACTGATCGATCGTTCGTTACAGTGAGCATTTCGACTGTATTTTAATCAAATGAGCTGATTTTTAAAAGCATTCTTATATCATCGACAAAGTTTCATTCGTAAGAAAATATTTATTGATATTTCTCTCTTTTAAATAAAGATTTTACTCAACCATCTATTTTCCATAGAGAAATAGAATCTGATTTCGTTAAAAAATAGAGTGGAAACTTTCAAATTATTTCTATCCGGTTCACCGATCAGTTCTATCATCTCGAATGGGTTAATTATTATTTTCTACTCATTCACTACGACTCGAGTTATACATCGTGCCAGAGAAATCATCTTCATCCTATTTTGATTACACTAGCTAATCTTTTTTTCGTTATAATCGAGAAGAATTTTGAGTATCTTTTTATGAGTAAAAAGTTGGATATATAATAGGATCCTGAAGAATTCGAATAACTACGATTACATTTTGATAGGGTGTGTCTATCAGAGGTGTCCACAGGACCAGTTTTATTGCCCTGTTCTGCTAATTAAGAAGAATTTTTTCATGTTTAAATTCAAGTTTAAGTAATCTTTGATATTTGAAAAATAGTTCAGCAAATAGATAAATGATCAGCAAATAATAAATTAGCCCTAATTGAAAAAGTGTATATGATGATATTGCATAATCACTGGTGATCCATCAGTAGATATACTTAACGAAGAGAGAATAGAAACTTCATTTTCATCACCAGGAGAGATAGATGAAATATCAGCACATGAATCTATCGACGATGATAGCGATACATAGTTTTATTGAAATAATAAGAACATGCGCAACTATTACAACAATTATATTTTAAATATATGTACACTAGATTATCACTATTATGATTCCTTTATTATTTTCTTTTCTTTTCTTACCAATTTGATTGGATCTCATGATCATCATACAAACACAAATATGACAATCTATTTACCATTTAATAACGCTATCTGAATTTTTTAGTTTCTTTCACGTTTTCGAGAAAAATAAATTTCTTTTTTTTTTCGAAGTAAAGCAGGTATGTGCAGAATTTTCAGGGCATGAAGATATAGCCCTTCACTGCCCTGCCTTTTTGCTCTGGTCGTCCTGCTCTGTGGCGATCTCTTCTTTTCCCCTTCGATTTCATTCTATCACGTTTGCAATCATTCCATTGTTCTTTTCATATCTGTTATATTTAAGCCAGTGCTAGCCTTGGAGAAAGGGGGTTCTGTTTTTCATTTTGCAAAAAGAAGAACATTGTATCGTTCCGAGTGATTCATTCTTCACTTTAATAAATCGTAACCACACTATTTAGTTAGTATGCACCGCAAGTAGATTGTACGAACAATAACATGTTCGCGAAAATCAACACATTTGACTTGTATATTTTTATGTATTTTGTTTTGTTAATTACAGAGAACGAACAGATTGTTTAATTTAAAAAAAGAAATAGTTCGATACTATTTTACATAGAAATCAAATGAAACAACAACATAGCGATACCGAGTTGTATGATGTCGAAAGGAAAACAATTCAAAGTAAATTCTAATTACTTTTGTTCTTACTATATTTTGTTACTGTTTTATTAGGGACAACAGTCGATACAAAAAGGTCAGTGATTGATATATATGTTTCCTTGTCGTTTTCTACTTTCTTTACTGTTGTTTATTATATAGATTGTTGTTTACTCGTTTTGAAGATCTTTCAAACGAACTTATCTATGAAATATTCGAGTTACTCGATGGTTATGATTTATTCGAAATTTTTTCAAATCTCAATTCACGATTTCAAAATCTTCTTACTCATCCAACACTTCGTATCAATATGAACCTATCATCCATGTCGGAATCGACTTTTCATCGTTTTCGTGCCTTTGGTATCTTGCCGAATAAGCATAGAATAAAGTCACTTCATTTATCGAGCCCTTTCGCTGTCGATCTCATTTTCTCACCTCCTCGATGCATTCCAAAATTTAGCCAATTGAAAACATTAATTCTTGACGATATTAATTCAAGATATCTTGACCAACTTCTTCACTTTTTAACTTTGTTGCCCTACCTTTCGTCGTTGATCCTTAGTCTTGCTGACCGTTTTCGAAATAAAATGATTCTCTATCCTCGAATTTTCCTCATACCAATGCTGAAATATTGCAAATTATCATATCAAGCTGGCAGTGGACGCATGCTATTACCAATCACCACCAATCAATGCAGTACTATCGAACATTCTAATCATCGATTGTTATTTTGAATCAACAGAAATCGCCGCTCTATTATCCTACACTCCTCGACTTCGTCATTTATCGTGTCGAAAACTAGCATACGACGCATATCAAACAATGGAAATGCCGATTGTTCCAAACAATTTAACAAAGGCTTCATTCGAGTTTTTTGGGCTTTTTAATTTTGACCAATTCGAACCGTTAATCAGAAAAAATTTTCGTCAACTTCACTGCTTACGTATTTCTATAAGTAAAAATGATAGATCCTATTTAGATGCTAAACAATGGGAAAGATTAATTTTAACGTCGATGGCCTACTTACGAATCTTTGATATTCAATATAAGGGCTGGGTGTATAAGGAGTCCAGTGGCAAGACTCAATTTTATGATCGGATCGATCAATTTAATTCTACATTTTGGTTTGACCGCCAATGGTTTTTTGCACATCAGTCTTATGAAAAAGAACATGCTATATCTGTTCTCTTCTATTCAATCCAACCGTATAGGTATGAAGAGATCAATCGGTTGAATACAAGATAATTGTTTTTTTTCTTTCTTTCAGAAGACAATCTTATATTTTATATAGTCATCCTGAAGAAAAAATATGTCCACATCGTCAACAGACTACCTTTGATACAGTTCGTCATCTTTATATCGATGAGGAACAATCAATTGCAAATTGTTTATTTCAATTTCCCAAGTGTACCAATCTCACTTTATTGAAAAGTTTCTGTAAAAACTGTGACTCAACCATTACTTCACTTCATCGTATTATTCCGTTGATGCAACTAACTAATCTGACAATTCGATGTCTAAATTTGTTCTTTGATACGATAATCGAAGTATTACATTCAACACCCAATATTCAAATATTAGAAGTTGATTCTGAATATCCACTCGAATTAAATCCTATATCAATAGAACAAACCGAAAAATTGCGCTTGATATCGAATGAAAACAAGATTCAAAGTTTGACAATTTCTCGTGGTTGCACATCAAAAGTAGCTGAGGTTTTTATCAATTTGTGCCGTCGTGTACAACGTATCGATATGAACATTTCAACTAATGAATTTGAATCTACTGTAAGAGTCCTATTGATGAAACATAACATTAATAGTCATCATTTACGCTTATTGATTCTTCGGTATCTTAGTGTAACATCGTTCAAAAAAATTGAACACATGGTGCATGCCGAGAAATTACTTGAAAACTGTTCAATAAAATTTGTCTACAATAGATTGTATTTGTGGTGGTAATATTTGTTTTAATAAATAAGCAACTTTTGCGATGTTGGCTACTAGCTATGGCAATATCTTTGTGCACGCGTATATGTGTGAGGGTGTGGATCTTTTCATAATGATCATCGAACCACACCCTTTCTGATTCTATATGTTTATTGCTATAGATTGAATTTTTATGAAATGATTCGAGGTAAATTTATTTAACTTTTGATGGAAACAGGAACCTATCATCACTTCGAAAAATGACAGAAAAAAACTAAGTGAAAACATACAAAAAAAGAAACTAAGCACCGAATAGTGCTCGATGATGTTGATAATATAATTGCAATCTTGGATTTGGCGTGTTTTGTGCCATATTTCCTACACAGAAAAAAATATGAAATAGTTCAGTATCAAAAAAGTACTCAAAATGATACTCTCAAAGAAGAATGCACGAATGATGAAGTAGAACATCAACGATTTATTCTCAATGAGTTATCACGAAAAAAGTCTATTGGGCACAGCATACCTTCGTTATTGGCCATACCGCTGTTCCAATGTTCTTTGCACTACGAGAACATGATGAATAGTTTCATCTGTATATTAAACGAGCATACGAAAAGTGAATCATGCAGAAAACTATTTTATTCAAAACTTTTCGTCATTTTAGAATAAAGATTTAGACTTTAGTGTATGATACATGAACACACGCCAAATGAATAGCTGCTACGAAGATTTCATTCCAATAATTTATTCTTTTCAGAGTGAATAATTCCAGCGGATATATATGACCGAAAATCACAAGCACAATGATTTATACCTACGAAGGTTTGATTCGAATATTTAGCTCATTTAAGTGTGAAGATTTGTAGTTGATTCCATGATCCATCAGCACACATGAAAAGGAATAATTCACACGAAGATTATATTTAAATATTTTTCTGATCGCATAGTAAAGATTTCGAGTTGACTAGATGATTCACGGACACAGTACATATGACTAATTCACAAGATGATTCCCTTGAAATACTTTTGTCATTTCCAAGCAAATGTTCGAACCTGGTTAAATAATCGGCAAACAGACGATAAATGAACAATTCAGAGCATGCTTCTATTCTTAAATTTGCTTTATTTCACCGCAAAGATTTCAGATTCGTCGCGTTATATAAAAACGCACGCGAAACGAATTATTCACACCATGGTCACATTCGACTAATGTGCTCATTTCATATCGAAGATTTACCGTTGGTTGGGTTATCAGCAAACACACGACAAATAGATACTGTTTAGTAAGATGCTATCCAAATATTTTGCTACTCTCGAAGTGAACACTTGAAGCCGACAACAGAGTCACCGAAGTGACAACAAAGGGATCACTCTCAAAAAGACTCTATTCAAACATCTTCTTCATTTTAAAGCAAAGATTTAACACATAACTACACGATCGATCAACGAATGAGAAGTGAATTGATCATATCACTATGCTATTGGAATATTTTTCTTTGTTGAATCAACGATTTGGACTTCATTTTCTGATGCATTAACATCTGAGAAGTGAATAATTCGTATCAAGATGACTTTATTAAAAGATTTTGTTCATTTTACAGCACCGATTTCGAGTAGGTTAGATGTCCTAAGAACATATGACAAGGGAACAGTTTGAACAAGGTTTCGATTCAAATACTTTTCTGTATTTGACACACAAACGACCTACTAACTACACGATCTACGAACAAAAAAGAAATGAAAAAGCTACAGCAACATTTTATTCAGATAATCTGCGCACTTCGAAGCAAAAATTTGAACTTTTTAAAATAATCGACGAAGCCACGACAAATAGATGATTCATAATACGATTCGATTCAAATATTTCTCTCTTTTCGGAACCCCCATTTCGAGTTAGTTCCATAATCGGCCAACGCAAGACCAACTAATAATTCACATCAAGACTATATTCCAATATTTTTCTCATTTCAGAGCAAAAATTTCGAGTTGATTAAATGATTCATGAGCGCACTATAAATGAATCATTGAAAAGAAGGTTCTATTCAATTATTCTACTTATGTCGAAGCGGAAAATGATCAGTCGATAATAAGATCCGTAAACACACGATCAACGGATAGATGCTAAAATGATCCTTTTCAAAAATGTTGTTCATTTTGTAGTAAAAATGAAGAATTGATAAACTGATCACGGACGATGTTAGAAATGAATAATTCATAACACGACGCAATTCAAATACTCTCCTTATTTACATGTACACCTTTTAAAACACGTGACATGATTGAAGAGTACAGGTCAAAAAGATAATTCATACGAAGATTCGATTCAAATAAGTTGCTAATTTCGTAGCAAACCTTTCCAAATGCTTACATCATTGTCAAACACACGACAAGTAAATGCTCCATAGCATGATTCTACTCAAATATTCTGTCCATTTCGAAACAAAGATTAAAAGTTGATTAGATAATTAGCCAACACACGACCAATGCATGATTCATAACACGATTCTATTCAAAAATTTCACTAGTATCTGTGGAAAGATTTCGACTCAATTAAATGATACGTGACCACGTGAGAAATAAATCATTTATAGGATGCTATTATTCAAATATATTACCTATTTCCGGGTGCACATTTAAATTTGATTACATGACTGACTAATGTAGTAGCAACGAATAATTCATATCAAGACTATATTCAAATAATTTTCGAATTTCCAAACAAATATTAAGACTTTATTACTTGATCAATTAGCACATTGCGTACAGATAGATCATAACATGATTTTATTCAAATAGTTCCCTCGTTTCAGAGCACACGTTTCGAGTTGATTTCGTAATTAACTCATACGGCACCAACGAATAATTAATATAAAGATTTTATTCAAGTATTTTTTTCATTTCATATCATAGCTTTGAATATCATGCTGTGGTTCGTCAGTCTACGATCAATAAATAATTCATAGAAAGATGCAATTCAAGTATCTTCTTCATATCAACATAAACAGCTGTAATATATTACATTTAACCCGAGCACACCAACAATGAATAAGTTCAACTAAGATTCTACTCCAATAGTGTGCTGGTTTCGACGCAAAGGTTTAGAATTGTTTAGATGACTGACGAACACAAGATAAACCAATAATTCAAAGCATGATTCTATTCAAACGTTGTGGTTATCTCGGATCAAATATTTCGAGTCAATCAGATGATCCTCGAACATATTAAAAATGAAAAATTCATAGCAACACTCGAGTCAAATATTTGTGCCATCTCGCGAAAAAAATTCGTGATGATTAGATGATCGGCAAACGCATGAAACCTGAAACATTCGTAGCATGATTCGATTCAAATATTTTGCTCCTATTCAAGTACATCTTTGAAGTTTACTCTATGATCGATGACCAGCTGATAAAAGATTAATTTTAACAAACCTCCTATTCAAACACTTTATCTAATGTCAACAAAACATTTCGCGTCAATAACATGACTGATGAACGAATAAAAAATGAATAATTTATAGCAGTACTGTATTCAGATGTTTCCCTCATTGCCGATCAAAGATTAGCAAGCGATTACATGCGTAACGACCACAGGTTAAATGAGTATTCCATAAGCCAATTCGATTCAAATATTCTGTTCGTTGTGATTGAGCGCTTTGCAACTGATTACACGATCAATAGAAATAAAACCAATGAACAGTTCAATTCAAGATAAGGTTAAATTCAAGTATTTTCTGAACGTCGAGCAGAACAGCTGGAATTGATTGCAAGATATGCGAGTAAATGAAAACGAATAGTTTGTATTAAGATTTCATTCGAACCATTTTATCATTTGGGAGCAACGATTTTTACTTTATTCCATGATCGATGAACACAGGAGAAATTGAATAATTTCCAATGCAATTCGAGTCAACTACTCTGCTCATTGTGAATGAGAGAGTTGAAGTTGAAGATATGATCGACAAAAATAGGACTTGTTAACAGTTCAATCCAATGTACGATTTCATTCAAATATTTTCCTAATGTCTGGCCGAGCAGTTGGAATTGATTACATGACTTGCGAGCAAATGAGAATGAATAACTCCTACTAAGATTCCGTTCAAAGCTATTCCCCTTGTCGAAACAAAGATTTGAAGTTCCATAGTCGATTCGAGCGTGTGAGGAAAAATGTATAATCTGGAGTAGAGTCCTGTTGAAATTTTGTTCTGATTTAGGAACAAAGCTTTGGATTTCATTACATGAACGAGGAACACAGGCCGACTGAATAATTCGGATAAATATTTTATTTAAATGTGTTGTTCATTTCGGGCAAAGATCTGCCGCTAATCACATGATCGATGAACACACGGAAAATGAATAGTTTTAACAAAGTTATTGTTGAAGTAAGTTGCGCATTTCATAGCATGTATGTGGGTCTCAATCGATGATTGACTCACACACGGGAAACGAAACATTCGAAACACATTCCTATTTGAATATTTTTCTTGATCTAGAGTAATAACGCCGAGTTTATTACAACATCCAACAAGACCCAATAGATGAGTAATTCGTATGAAGATTCTATTCAGATAGTTTGTTCGCTTCGATGTGAAGATTTGCTGATAATTACATGATCGTCGCACACTAAAAAAATGAATACTTCTCAATAAGATTCTATTCGAAAGCTTTTCCTCATTTATACGGATCGATGAGCATTTGTTACATCATCTACGAACACATCATCATTAAATAATTCGTATGAAGATTTTATTGAAATATTTTGCTCATTGCTAAGCGATTCTTTGGAACTGATTGCACAAACATGGAACATACGGCAAAGGAATATTTCTCAGTAGGATTCTATTCATATATTTTATTCCGTTCAGACGATACTATCGAAGTTGACCGAATCATTCATCGACGCATGATAGCAGAAAGACATGTAGTGCAATTTTGTTCAAACGATATTCTCATGACGGTCAAAGGATTTCCGATTGATAATTTTAACCGACGAACACACAACAAATGAACATTGATTCGCGATCGTATTCA